GCTTGTCAGTGTGCCAACGTGAGGTATTGTGTGAATGGGAATGCGAGTCTCATGAATGAAAAGGCCACCACGTAATACTCAAAGAACGAAACCGAATTGCATCAACCATTTGGCACCTGTCACTGATTGTGTACCGTTTGAGCACAATAAATTGTCGCGCAGCTTCACTCCACTACCCGCCCAGCTCAATTTCTCATAGAGCAGAAGAATCTACCAGAGATTGTCAAATGTCACACAGTTAGAAATTTGTAAAATAAAAGTAAATTTTGTATTCAATCTCAACGCTTCGCCTCCACATGGTGAAACTAAATGTCTCCAATTTCAATCAAAAACTAATATTTACATTTTTTTCACTTAGCCATGCGGGCGAAATGAAATTTTTCTCTTAAGAAATATAAACGCAACTCTCTAGTTGCCAAAGCAAGACAACTAAAGCGAAATAAATCAGGGAAAACGCATTGGTGTTGGCTGTTGGGGTATGCTCGAATTGAATATACTCTGTAAAGGCTTAGCAAAGAATTTATAATATTTAAATGCCAAATAAAAATAACTGAAAGTAAATAAAGTCTCATAAAATTTTCTTAGAATTTTATATTAAATGCAACTTTTGAGTATTATTTAACTAACAATTAGTATATATACAGGGTATATAGGCATATATCATATATAACGCAAACGAATCAAACGTCGGCGGGGCATTAGGGGTTACAAATGGCCTTGGGAGTACTCCTGAGAGCCCCGGTCGTCAGTTGAAAAAGAATTAAACTAATATTTATCAAAGAGATGAGCGAGACGTGCTTCAGCTTGAACAAAAGCATTGAAGGGCAGGGTCGGCGCCAAAGCAAAGTGGCCGGAAAGCATCAAGAGAAGGCCAGAAATATGAAACGGCGACTAGGATTAAGATATATATATATATATATATATATATATATATATATATAGAGTGAGAGAGAGAGAGAGAGCAAGACAAAGATAAAGACGAAACCAAGAAATGAACTGCAGTGTCATGAAACCAGAACAGAACAGACGAGAACAGAAGCGAGCACTACGACGCTGTCAAGTTGGTCAAAAGCTTTGATGCCAAGATGAATGGACGCATTTCAGTTGCACAAAGCCGTGTTTGTGGAGTAACTTAATGGCTGCAGTGAGTTGAAGCCAACTTTATGCTAATTAGCAACAGCTAACGAGTCTGTGAGATGCGAATAACTCTACAGCCAAATCCTCGCACCTGCAGACCCAAGGACCTCTCATTCCATTGTTGGTTGTGAAGCTATTGCATGGCTCAGCTGCACATAAGTGAGCTTTTCCACACATCTCAGACAGACAAACACACAGACACACACACACACATGCACACATGCACACATACACGCACGCAGTGACAGCCATTTTTGTCAGCCATCTTTTATTTTCGTTCTGCTGTAGCCAACTTTTGTGCTGCCCCATTCACAACTGCATTTCGAATTTGGAGCTGGCGCTGCTGTTTGTTGGCTTAGCAAAAGCAGCGCACATTGTTGACGTCTGAATTTTAAAATGTATATAATATAAATGGCGCTTCGCTTTGAATTGGCCAAATAAAACGACAATAAATATGGCCATTGTGCAGTTGGCTCCACTTTGCAGCCTTAGCAGCCAAACAATGGCTGCTCATAAATTACCTAAATTGAATACCATTCTGCTGCTTTATTTGTGTACTGCACAGTTTTCCTCACCTTAAAAAGAACTTAACTCGTCGTTATGGACCACACCCCCAGCCGCCCTAAAATTTATTACATTCCATAGAGTACGCTAGTTATTTAATACACTGCTGCAATGAATGTAATGAAAACGGGCTTGTTCGCTATGAAAGAGTCTATATATTATTTTTTAATTATAATTAATTAACATTGTTTGAACTGTTCATCGCTCCCAAGGCCAACGCGTTTCACTTAAATTTCGTATCCACTAGGAACATTATACTTACAAATAAATATCAATTTTCCTCTAAAAATAATTTAACTCTGTGTTCGTAGTCTCCCACGGCGTGCAACTTGTGTAAGTCGTTATACTCGATCGTTTTGTATATTTAGGATGAACATTTTACCGAGGGCTGATAATGACATTCAGAAAATCAGCCTTGGTCGAAAACACTCCTTTTCTAAATAAATAACAACACATATATTAATAAATGATTTTATAATATAAAATTTAAAGCCTGACTTATTCGATCTTGCTCATTTGAGCCTAGTTTTTATATACACAGATCAATTTAAGAAAAAACTTATCAACACCCGCTCAAAAACTTTAAGTTATATGAAAAATCCTCAAGCGAAAGCAATTTATTCTCCAACTTAAATGAAATATTATTCTTATGTATTTCATATTTTCTATGTATTTTCTATGTATTATTTCATATGCATCATATTTATTTATTACATTACAAATATCTAAGTCAATTTTCATATACAAAAAAAGTTTATAAAATATTTAGAGTGTATTTCTGTATTCGCGGAAACTTTGACTTTGTTTACTATTTTTCAGTCGCAGTTATTATTTTACTTTTTTCTCGCTGTTGTATCCGTTTGGTGCGCGCATAAATATGCAATAGAAACTTTTCTCACGTTTTTGATTGCATTTTTTGTGCAGCGTCATAAATATTTAATGCTGACTTTTAGCTGTGGCAATTTCTGTGGCAGCACATCCGTGCGGCTCTTTAGCGGTAGCTCCCTGCCCATTTATCTATATTATAGTCTGTGCGTTGGTGGCGCCCTTATTGCTTTTCCATTTCAGTGTAAACAGCAAATGGCGACGCAACAGCTTGTCCCAGTGAGTGGAGCAAACCGACTGCGGCTGGAGCGATTCAATTGAATGGCATATCCATCAGGCTGTGTGGTAATGGTTAGCTCTGTATAGCAATTTGCAGTTGCAGAGTGAGATAGAGAGAGAGAGAGAGAGAGAGAGAGAGAGAGAACGCCGCAAGACTGTGGGTTGCGGGCGGCGAACTGGCATTTGGTATGGCTGTCATCAGTGGTAAGATGATGACCAAAAAACCGCAGGATGCACTTAATTAAGTTAATTAACATTTTTTGTCATGCAGCTGCACGCTCTTATGCAACGTCATTATCGGCATCAGCATCAGCTACACGATTATGATGAGCATTATGGTGCTCATTGTCGCGGTTGAGACGAGTCGAGTAGCAACCGCAAAGCGAGTCACTTCCAGCTGAGCTCGTATGCGAGTACGCACAAGTATTATGCGAGTAATAAGCGAATCCAGCCAGCAGTCCACCAGTCCACCAGTCCACCAGTCCTGCCACAGTCCCTGTTTGCCTCTTTCATAACGCTCGCGCGCTCATGTTGCATGCAGTTGCTGCCTCACACGAAGCGTAAACTCAATTAAAAACTGTCGAGCAGTTGGCGACTCACGCCGCACACCACACTCTAGCCTGTTGACAGAGCTTGATTATCCTTATTCCGTGTCTGGCTCTGTTACACATCCGGCCACAAGTGTGTGCTGTGCGCCGTTTAGAATGCATGTGTTTGCTTTACTACTTTCAGTTCCATTTTCTAATTTAACGCCCGCATATATATTTCACTTCATTTTCAGCGAGTTCCCCATCAACTTTTTGCTGCGGCTTGGGCTCTTTGCATTTTAATGCTTGGCTCATATAGAGTCCATTAGGATTATAATTTATGCAGTTCTTTGGCAACGCCCCAAACTTGCAGTGAAGATACATTATTTTTGCAATTAGCTGCATAAATACTTCATACTCAACGAGATTTAAGCTTCTAAGTTGTTTTCTTTTCATTTACGCTTTATTAACCATGCTTTAATCCAATTGGCTAATAAAAAATATCTTTAGGATATTCTATTATTTGGCTTAAAAGATCTTCATAAATTATGCTCATCGCCTGAAGTAAGGCAACCCGTTTAGCATATAAAAACATATTTAAAGCAGGGTATATCCTAGTCGAGCATATTGAATCCGCCTCGTTAATGGTTTATATAAATTGTTTGCTTAGTACAGACATATGTAAATCGTCGATTAGCGGTTAACAATGTTGTTGCAAGCAGCAGGCATTAGGATGAGATAATCAACTGTTGTAATGCCTGCCCCTCTCGCCTTTACCCCTGCTAACAATCAAGCGTTAACAGAGAGATTGTTCACAGGGTCGTTTGTAATGCGACCGAGAGGCAGATGTAAATTTTGCAGTTGTCAGTTATTGTTGTTGTTGCTGTTGTTGTTGTTGTTGCAACCTCTCCTTCGGCAGCTGCATTTTTGCCATGTGTGCAGCCTTCCATAAGGCTGCCAGTTTGCTCAACTTGGGGCATCTGCAACAACTGCTTCTATACGCATATCCTGTGCCTACAAAGTCTCGCATGCGGCTAAGCGTGACGTTGACGAAGCGCATGCAACAGCTCAACTTGTTAGATGGCAAAACCTAGAGGGGGATATGAAAATAGAATGTGTGCCACAGTGGGCGATGACATGGCGGTTTGATGTTGTTGCAAGCGAATTTGTTGCTGACAATTTCTTGTTAGCGCTGCTCATGTTGTGGTTGCACATGCACAGGGTGCATGTGTGTGAGTGTGAGCGTTCTAGTCGATAAATTTTCAATTTTGCAACTTATGCTGTGCGTGTGTTTCCGCATTTTAGTCACACTTCAGCGCAGCACAACATGGCGTATGATTGATGCCGTCTACAGAGTATTCGTTCGTCTACACACAGAAGTTTCACACAAGCACAGGCACATACAGCAGACAACATATTATGTTTACATAACAAAAACAAATTTCTTGCTGCTTGCCTATTACTCAAGTATATTGAAGGGGGAGAGAGATAGGCAGAGAAAAAGGGAGAGAGAAAGAGCAGCTAAAAAGTGATTGCGAAGCTTTGCGTAAAATTTTACACTAAGTAAGCACGTGTGCTTATTATTGACGGAGTGTATGTGTGTGTGTGGGCGTGTGCGTGTGTGTGTACTTTACTGCTTTAATTACATTATTTACTCTTTTATTTCAGTTATCTCAACATTGAAGCAGCCTACAGGAGGAATAAGTAACAGGTGAGCTAAAGCATTTCGCAAAGTTATTTAGAATTTCGTTTATATGCGAATATATTTGACTTTATAATAACGGAATATATTACATATTAAATACAATTTTTATTGCTTAAGAGCATGTAGTCAGTTTTTGCTGTATTTTCGCTCTTGCTGAAGATTTACCAAGACTGTTTGGCACACAAAACTTTGACAATCGAAGTTATGAAGTGCTCTCAGTTTATCTGGACTGCAACAAGAGCCAAGCAATTCAATTAGCACTGCGAAATTTTATTTGGCAGCCATATAAAGAGCTTTTGTGACTCACTCGGGGATCCTGGCCAACATTTCAGTGGATACATTCAACCACAATTCCCAAAAGTTTATTGAGTGAAAAATTGTTGGCAGCAAAATACGAATGCAATACTTGTGCAGCAACAGCAGCGGTAGATATTGCATTATATTATGTTGGATATAAATATCTACACAACATTTGAAGCAGCCTTGCCTCAAGTGGAATTTCAGTCAAGAATGTGTCGAGCATGCAACGAATGCAATATAAATGATGAATTGCGGCAAATGCACATAAGGTTATTTAACCCATTTCGACAGTGGCTGATTCAATATAAATCAGTTTGCTCTATTCGTCGATTAATTGGTAGCAAAATGTTTGCATTGTTCGACTTTTTTAGTATTCAATAAAACAAAAGCCCGAATTTGTCTAGCTGATGTCACACAGACACATAACTTAAAATCAAATAAATCATTTTGATAGCCAAATATATATTGCGCTGGCTTTTGGCATTTTCACATTTTGGTCTTCGGTCGCTGGCGCAAACATAAATTTGCTATAAAAGGACAAAAAATCAGCGTAGACGCGATATTCTTTTAGGAGTTTTCCATAAGTCGGCGCCATAAATAATCACATAAAACAACAACATACACAACATGTTGGCATCGAATGTCGGCCAGCTTCTGCTCTTGCTGCTGCTGCTGTTATCCTGACAAAAGGAAACCCAAATGTGTATACATAAATACCATTTTTTCTGTCTTCTTGTTGTTGGAAGCGGAAGCTACCAAACTGTACCCGCAATTTATGTAAAATTTAATGCTTTATTACGACACACAGCCACACATACAGTGAGAGGGGGAGAGAGCGGTCGACGTACATATGCAAATCATATCACTCATACACGCCTACGCAGGCCGACTCAATTGTATGTATGCATAGCATTATCAAACATGAAACATGAAACGTGAAACACCAATGAAAATGTCAGCCAAGAAACAAACACAGCAACAAAGATAACAGTAAAGATAAGCAATTTTGCCGCTGCCAAATGTTTTCACCGTTAGGCGTCCTCTCTACACATGTTTTGTGCACGAATTTTATTATGCACACAAAACTCAGCACACAGACCCACAGTCACACACACATGCACCCACACACACGCATAAAATGCTCGCATATGTCACTGTGTAGGCATTTAATGCCGGAATTCATGCTACACTGCGCAACAAAAGTTTGACTCAAAGTGCCAAGTGTAATTATTAAACTTAGTTAACGCTAAGCTTTTTTTTAATTTTATATATAATAAAGTTTAGTAACAGCTAACTATGAATAATAATAATTATTAGCTTGTCTCCGAGTTAGCTTGGCTGACTGGTGTAAGAGCGCTCGGCATTAATATATGATTCTGAATAAACGCATTCATTATTTACAAGGCAAACAGAGCAAGAAAACAAAATAAACCAGCATCTGCTTGACACATAAACATCAAGTGCGCAACACGCCCTCAAAAATAAAATAAAAAGAAATTATTTAAAATACATACAAACATAACACATAGTATCTATGTGTGCAGACACGAGTGAGGTCTGGCCTCACTCCGTACGAGAAGGGGCGCCAGCGTCGACGGCGGCAATTTAAAATTGCTGGCTTTTTAACTCGCATCCATTTACAGCAATTTTGCGTGTACCCTCCGAACGCCAGCGCCGGAGCGCCCCAACCTTGCGCCAATCAGTCCCGGCATGCATGTTTGACGTGTCAGATTGAAATTACATCAGGCACTTGGTGAATGGCAAATGACAGGAATGCTGGCAAGGATAACGAATTACATAAATAAGTAACATGCTGGCAAAAAATTGAAAAAAACCTTCGCAGGCATGTTAAAGAAATCAAATTTGATGACTCAATAATTGAAATGCGCACAGGCGTGTGCGCACTGTAGCTGCGCCGGATTGACGCTCGCATGGATTTCTGCGACTTACAGGGTTTTGCTGTCCATTAGGCGTGATTAGTCCGACACACTAATTGACCCGCTTGCAGGCCAGTTTTAGCATCCTTCAGTTGTTCCCGCTATCTGTTGTGTCTGCCTGCTCCCGTCTCTAAGCTGGAGTCACTTATTTCATGCATTTTGCGCTGCAGCCACAAATCCGCGCGGATTTAAAAAGCTTTTTACAACAAAAACAACAACAAGCAGCATAATGCGTCCTGATGTGGCGTGGTTTTATCGCGGCATGCCTTAAAAGCAGACACTTTGAGGACGCGGACCAAAGTGCGCTGCAGACCATGAAGCAAACCCACATAAACCCACCAAGCCAAGCCAAACGTAACCAAAGAAACTGCAATGCAGTTCTTCTTCTTCTACTTTGGCTGCTTCTGCTGGGAATGCCTTTTGTGTTTTATTTTGCAGCTGCAGTGACTGCAGACATTTTTTGTTTTCTTCGCGAAAAAATGGCGCTCGCATATCGGGCAAGAATTAAGTTTACGCCCGTTGATTTTAAGCGCAGTTGATGGGCGGGCAACCAGAGCTGCGCTCAGCTCATTTAGCCAGCTTTAAGTGCAGCTAATAAATATAAACAAAATTACCAGAATCAGCAGCCACAATAAAAACCGATATCCCATAACGACAATCATGGCAATTGACGGCGTAAGCCAAGAACTGTAATCGTTTAGACGAATTAAATTTGCAGAAAAGGCACCGAAAACTAAACTTTGCTGCAAAGAAAGCATATAATTTTGCAAAAACTTATTGTCGATAGCTTTTTTACGTTTTTTTTATCAACTATGAACATTGCTCTTACTAGCTTCCTCTTTAAATAGTTTTTTTCTATTGCTCTGGTCTGCTACGGAGTGGAATTAGAGCATAGTAAAGAAGTCATCTCTCTATACTCAATCTCTTTGGCTATGTAGGACGGTCGTAAATTAGCCAATGCTCTCCTGCAGTCGACTTGAAGATAAGGGCGTCAACATTGTGAATTTAGAGATTCAACCGAGACTTTGTTCTTGCTTGAATATTTATACATAATCAGTTCAATCAGAATCACTCAGTTCAGACTTGAAATAGCGAATAATCATATTTTAATATTTTAACATTTATTTTAACTGTCTTCATCTTGTTTATATACTTCAAATTCTGTTTGAATAAAAGCCTTTCCATATAAAATACATTTAAAACTTGTTTTTACTGAATGCTCAAGGCTAACAGATTTAATTCCTTAGAAACAAAAAGTCAACTGTCATCAGCAAGATTAGTCAAAAGATATGTATATATTGTGACATCCCCGTTCATGTATTCTAACTTCTTAAAAACTTTGTAATGAAACGCCTTTCGCTCACTACAATACCCAAAAGTAATGAAGATTGTTTTTTATGAAGAAATGTTCTTTCTTGCTAACTTTTAGGCAACTTAATTTTACAGCAGTTAATTAAATGTATTTTTTACACAGAATTCAGGATTCAGGGAAGTTACGGGCCGTAGCTAACACAGGTAAAATTCAAGGGAGTACTCGAAAGACTAAGTCAAGGCTAAGTCTTAGTCTTCTAATACTCCTAGTTTTAGCTGGCAGATCTTTGGGCTGCAATATCTTGACGCCTAGCTAGGCCATTTGGGCAAAAAGTTAGTCTCTCATGGTATTTATGAAGAAGATTATTCATAAGAAATATTCTATGTCACATAATAAAATTTATATTAAATTTCATCGCAGTGTAAAACTGGTTATTTCTTTGCTATTTTCCACTTTGTTAGGCTTGCAGCTAAGGAAAATATATAGATTTGTTAAATATTATTTCATAAACTAGAGTTGCGCACGCTTAAAAAATAAGTATTGAAGTTACTGGGCTGTGTACGTGCTTGCTTAATCAAAATTTAAGCTGAAGCTTAGCTTTTGCACCTGTTAGCAAACCAATAACAAAACTATTGCATTTCCTCCATATTTGGCCAGCCAAACAGTCGCAGCTATAGAACTTGAACTGTACTTATTTAGTAACATTTATATCCCTGCCAATCCGACAGCGGACTCGTTCGCTCTCTCCACCTCCTGCGGTACTGCAGCGTACTGCGTGTTTTCCAGCCGTAAAGCATGCGGACAGACAGACACGAAAAACTTTCGAAGAGACTGCGGTAAGCCCCAAGACGCTGCCACAACGTAGCTGGGTTGGTTTTTAGCGTCGAAACCAGGGAAAATGCTAAATATTTGAAAAGTTCTGCAAAGCGGAGCTGAGGTTCTACCAGCAGAAATGTCAACTAGTATAAAACTTATGGTAAATGGCTCGGGGCGTGGTCGCAATGCCAAATTTGGCCCAGGTACGAGAGTCAAATAAAAAAAAATTGCTCATACGCCGCGACGCGTTGGCAGCAAATTATTTATGAACCGCCAGCGGCTTAGGAGCTTTTTAATATGAATAGCAGAATATCCGAGGGAGGCGACGCAGAAAGATGATATAATCGTTGGCAGCAATAATTGGGTAGATGCCTGGCTTTTCGGCACACTCAGAGAGACGCATAATTAAATTCAATTATTTATGTGGCTGTCAGAGCAAAGTCGTGCAGATACCAAAATGTGAATCAACATTTGGGACAGGACTTACGAGCTGTCCGCAAATGCTTAAAGCGGCTTACACTTTGTTTGTTTGTTGACCAAATAATTGCGCCATTTGCGCCGACTAGCCACTGTCACTGTCACTGTCACTTTTGGCAACGACCCCGCCACTGCTGCTACTCCTGCTCCTGCTCTGACGTCCTTCCCAGTCAGGCCATTTGCCAGTTGATTAGCATAATCAACCAAAATTAGTCGAGCGAATTTCACATGCAAAATAGTTTCATACCCACAATCACACACTCAGGCACACACACACACACTCCTTTACCTACACAAACAAATATCTGGCTGAAAATTCAATTTGCCTCGCCAGACATGTTGCACAAACAAGCCGTTGAAATAATTTCAAATATGAAATATTCATTGAAAAATAATAATAATAAACAGCACAAAATAATTGCAGCTCTAGCCGTGACGAGTAAATAGATTTATTTACGCACAGTTTATTATCATATCAAAGCACACGTGCTCAGTTTGCAGTTAAAACTAGAGCAGTGCCTTTAGCGGGCAGTGCCTGACTGGCAGATACTCTGTATTTAAAGAGCAAGTAGCACGGATACTTAACTAAGAAATAAATTTGGAGTAATCTGAAATCTGATTGAGGCAAACTTGAGTTGAGATTATTGAGTCCTAAAGATAGCTCACTATAATTTGTGAATATTTAGCTTTAACCCTTATTCAAGCTCTATATAGATAGCCCATATCATGAAATGTATACCTAAACAGGGATTTATATTAACTATTGCTGACATACAATTTACATAAAAATTACTTCTATGGCATGAAAGAAACAATCATCTACTTGCTAATTATTAGAGCAATATAAACCTATAACTACAAGGTATAAAGTCATGCACATTCACTAAGTTAATCGATTTGTACTTGATATACTTTAAAGTAAAATAATAATAATTTAAGCTCATTTAAACTGCTCTATAATTGAATATATAACACTATATATATACAAAAATATGCATAATAATAATATATCATAGCATATATATATATATATGTATATATATATATATATACAAAGAACATTGTAAGCACCATCGTTTAGTCGAAGCGAAGTGTTCAACTTAAATATTATTATTATTCTTAATTAATTAATTTTGTTTTAATTTAACATTTTGAAGTGATATTTCACAGAGCTTAAATGGTGCGGGCTTTGCAGTTATTTTTAGTCACGGCAAATTCTACATTTCATTTAAACAAATATTTACAAAGTTTAATTAAAATTTGCGAGCTCTTCCCACACTTCGCACGCTGTTTGATCTGTGCTTTTTGCATAACTTCTGCTGTATGTCAACTGGCATCGCTTTAATGTTCCAACTACTGAGAATTTAATATTCTTGCCACGCTTCAAAGGGCGCGCTCAGGTGAATGGACACAATGGGGGACTGAGCTGAGGCTGAGCTCCTAGCACAGGGCAGCTGCAGCTGTGGCAACGTCTGGCCGTCTAGACGCGCTTTTGAGAATATGGCTCAATTGCCATTCTTGGCTGACTTCAATAAATTTTGTACCAGAGACATGTGAGGCCACAATTGTCGGCGCATTTCGTAGATGAAGTAAGGGAATTCAATTAAGAGCAAAATATATAAATTTATATTTTAGCTCGCGGTTTCGGCTGACCAAAAAGAATGCCGAAACGGAAGCTGTAAACCAACAGCCAACAACATGAGCAACGACGCCGGCATTTTGGCTGCCCTTTGTTTATTTGTTACGCACAATCAAGTGGTACGTGCGAGGCAGGGGGCGGACCGGTGGGCGGTGGCCGGTGGGCGGTGGGCGAGGCAAACAATTCAATAATGGGAGGCAGCATGAAAATTAATGCAAAAGGACGCAGAAGGCAGCTGCGGTCGCTGCCTTCTGGTTCACTTGTTTTATATGCGTCACAGCGAGAGCAGATGATGATGATGAAGATGCTCATCATGATGTTGTTGATACCGAGAAAAAACACATCTGCGTTCGGCCGGCGGGTTAGGGACACTCGAGGGACTGCCAAGTTTGCATTTTATTGTTTTAAAATTTCTTCAAAATTGTAACAACTGCTACCATCAAGAGCTACATATGTGCACAGAGCGGCGCAAGGCACGGCGTGGGCGTGTGTGTGCGTGTGCGAAGCAAAAAGTCTCTGAAAATATTTACAGTTCAAACGTCTGAGCTTATGAAGAAATTAAATAAGCCAGAATACGAATATTCTTTCAGATGTATTTAACATAAATTTTCTAGAATAATATTATATATATATATATATGTACTTAAGTACTATTAGCTAGTATGAAAATTTGTCAAAATCTTGAATATTATATTCAATTATTGAGCTCATCTTAAGCTAATTGAATCAAGCTATTTGAATTACAATTGTTGATTTTCTGTGTTTCTTTACAGCAGCGCGACAATCAGAGCACAGCAAGGCGGTTTCAAGCAAGACCCTCAGCAGAATATATAGCTACTTATTTATATATAGCTTTAATTCTGAGACAGCTTTAAGTACGGCGACAGCAGCAACAACAATTACGAGAAACAGCCGTGAGCACAAAACACTTATTAAGCTGACCGCAAATAGCGTTTTATTAAGCATACGCCACATTAGCCCGTAGGCAGGCAGGGATGGACGGACGGCCGGAGAAGCGCACATCAAATTAGTAATCAAGCAACACAAAAGCAGCGCCCAGGGCTACAGTGGTGCACGGCAAGGTATAAGCCTTGGCTGAGCCGGGTCTGGAGCTGGGTCCGCGCTGCCTGGCAGCTCGAATGCGAGGCAGACAAAACTAATAAGACGACTTTATTTTTATTGAAATTATGATTAATGACAGAAATATTGCACGACGGCGATGAAGAATCGGCGCACTGTCACGAATTAAGGGCAAAAGCCCATTGACCATGATAATGGTAATGATCACAATGATGCTGATGATGATGCCAATGATGAGCATCTCGCTAATGATATTGCTGCGGCCAAGGCACGATTTCTGACGCGTTTGTCCAGCCATGGACCACAGAGCGGACACAATGGTGATGAACTTAATCAAAGGCCGTTTAATGGGTGTCAATGCTGTCGCCGACGCTGTTGATTGCCGGTGTGCAAGCAACTACAAGAACAGCAAGAACGACGACAAGAACAACAGTAATAGCAATTAAGAGATATTGCTCATACGACGCGCTGTACAAGGCAAATTCTTATTTGCAAAGCATAAAGAGAAAGTGCAAGCACAAAAGAAATTCATAATTTGATGGCTTCGCCTGGGCAGCACTGCGTTGCAGCAGCAGTCCGCAGACGACGCCATCCTCAACCTCAGCTGCACAACAACAACAACAACAACAAACTGATCTCCACAGCCACACTGACGCTGCTCATACTCTGTCTGAGCAGCTGCATTGCCTACGCCACGGCAGCAGCAACTGCTACGGAACAACCAGCCGCAAGGAGCTCGGACAGCGGGAGCCCGACCGAGGACTTTAACAGCAGCAGCGCCTTCCTGGGCGCCATTGCAGCTGCGGCTAGCTCCGTGAACAGCAGCCCCATCGCCATTGTCAGCTATCCGGGCATTACGAGCAGCACTCCGAATGGCAGCAGCAGCACGTTGGTGTCCATGTCCGATACTCCGCTGCTGCTGGACGAGCTGGCCGCCGGAGAGGAGGAGTTCGAGCTGCCGCCGCTCCAATCGGTCATTGTGAGCATTATCCTGCTTATTGTCATACTCGGCACAGTGGTGGGAAATGTGCTCGTTTGCATTGCCGTTTGCATGGTGCGCAAGCTGCGACGACCCTGCAATTATCTGCTTGTCTCGTTGGCATTATCTGATCTCTGTGTAGCCCTGCTCGTCATGCCAATGGCCCTGCTGTACGAGGTGCTTGAACGCTGGAGCTTCGGCACGCTGCTCTGCGACATTTGGGTGTCGTTCGACGTACTCTGCTGCACCGCCTCCATACTGAATCTGTGCGCCATCTCCGTAGACCGTTATCTGGCTATTACTAAGCCGCTGGAGTACGGCGTTAAGCGCACACCACGGCGCATGATGCTCTGCGTGGGCATCGTTTGGCTGGCTGCAGCCTGCATCTCGCTGCCGCCGCTGCTGATACTGGGTAACGAGCACGAGGACGAGGATGGCCAGCCCATATGCACGGTGTGCCAGAACTTTGCATATCAGATCTATGCGACGCTGGGCTCCTTCTATATACCGCTCTCCGTTATGCTGTTTGTGTACTACCAGATCTTCAAGGCCGCACGGCGCATTGTGCTGGAGGAGAAACGCGCCCAGACGCATCTACAGCAGGCCATGAATGGCACCGGCTCGCCGCAGACTGCGACAGCACCTGCGCTGGCGCACACTGATGTGGGCAGTGGCAATGGCGCTGGTCATGGACACCGGCACAGCAGCATAGGCAACACCTCGCTTACTTACTCCACCTGCGGCGGTCTGAGCACCAGTGGTGGAGGAGGTTGTGGTGGCGGAGGCGGTGTGGGCTTATCGCATGGTCATCACGGCAGCGGCGGTGGCGTAAGTGGATCGACGGGGCTGCTAGGATCTCCGCATCACAAGAAGCTGCGCTTTCAGCTGGCCAAGGAGAAGAAGGCATCTACCACGCTGGGCATCATCATGTCGGCCTTTACCGTCTGCTGGCTGCCCTTCTTCATACTGGCACTGATCCGGCCCTTTGAGACGATGCATGTGCCACCGTCGCTCTCCTCGCTTTTCCTCTGGCTGGGCTATGCCAACTCTCTGCTAAATCCGATTATCTATGCCACGCTGAATCGTGATTTCCGCAAGCCCTTCCAGGAGATACTCTACTTTCGCTGCTCCAGCCTGAACACCATGATGCGCGAGAACTACTACCAGGATCAGTACGGAGAGCCGCCATCGCAGCGCGTCATGCTGGGCGATGAGCGACATGGTGCACGCGAGAGCTTCCTGTGAAGCCAAAGGATCCCTGGATGCTTGGCTCCCTAAATATCTAAAGCTGTATATCTATATATGTTGTACTCTACACGAATAAGCCAAAAACTAACTAGTGTCTACTGCTTGGCAAGGAATGCAAACTACATAAGCACCACCCTCTCCCGCACACACACACCCACATACACCCATCTATATGTACTATGCATGAGTATATGTAACTGTTTACCTATGAGTATTTTTTGTATGTAGTAGTGTTGCATAACGCAAAAACATAATTACGATATATGATAAAAGATAAATGATAAACGATAAACGATAAACGATAAACGATAAATGTAGATGACTCCTCTAAATGTAACTGAACGTTGTAATTTTTAAATGTAACACTAAGCAATGAAGTGGGTTAAAATACTGCAACCACTCCACACACACAAACACACACACACAATTGCCCACCCAAAGACAACCAAGACAACTCACACACACACACCAAAAGTGTTGCAAAGCAATCGATAAGTATTTGTGAAGATTTTAATATTCAGTTTTAATGGTTTCTTAAGTCTCGATTGTTTAGTCTATCGAATATCGATAGCTTCGCAGCACACAGACACTCATAACTCACACAACAAGACGGTTGTACCACTGTTAACCCAGTACAGGTTCTCACACGGTTCCTTTTTTATGTTTGTTATTTCCAAGAATTAAGAGAACCGATTACAATCACAATCGATATCGAATCTATTGAGCCCACGGCGAGCGTAGTTTATTTGCGATACTCAAGCGGAGCCAAAAACTAAATTAAACCTACACTAAAGATATTGTGTCATCTAAATTATACTTAATATACGATAACGCGATATATATATACATATATTTGTAGTCAAGCATGACAAAATGGGGTCGATAAACTGTTCGAACTGTAAATAAGAAAACTATATATACAGATCGTTATCTGTGTGCAGCTCTGTCTCAGAACGTACATTTACTATACTCGTATAGCTAAAGCTCAATACTAAGTTATCTTTAAATGTATTTATTAAATACTTTCTGCAATAATTATATTATTTTACGTATCTTATCTTTTTGTGTATTTGTATAAAAGTCACGCCTCTCTGTGATACCAAACATTAAGCATTAAATTTTTATGTTTAGATCAACTGCATTAAATTATAATATAAAATACTAACTGGTAACTGCTAGTTTATACAAGTACTAACTACACATATAGCTACTATATGAATATATAATTATATACATACATATACAAATATCTAGTCTGGTTAAGGCTATTCTGTGTGCGTGTTTTTATTGTATGTACGATATGTCTACATTAAGCACATGATATTCAAACATAAAACCGAGTTACGTATGTGTAATGTATGTTGAGATACAAAAATACCAAAATACAAAAAACAAAAAAAAACCAAAAAAAAACCAAAAAAAAACGAAGCTAATCCCCACACACACACAAATCCAAATCCTAAACACAATGAAAGGAGCATGACAAACTAAGCGCATCTAATGCTATGCATCGCAGAACTAAAGTTCAGTAAACAAAAGAAAATATAAATGAAAACAACATAAATAAACAAACTATTTGAAACTCTTTCAAGTGAAGCTTACGAAACTGTAAAATTGCATTTGGATTCTGCTTCCCACAGCTGCAAGTGCAAGATATACACAAAATACGAAACAAACCCAGAGAAGATATATAAAACTAAATATGAGAAGTGAGCAGAAATTAAAGCATCAAATAAAAGGCAACCTTATAAATGTAATTTCAACAGCTTTTCTTATTGACTTATTTGACTTGTTAACAAATTAATGCAACGCTCTCAATTGGGCTAACTTTTACGAACTTTTCCAGCTTGCAGCCAACGTCTTGACTCCGCTAACTAACACAATATACTGCAAAATATTCAAAGTTTCGTGAATCAATTAACTTTAAGTTCGTAAAGTTTTCAAGTATTTGGCAGTTTATCGAAGAAAAAACACAACAAAGTGGCTTAAAATGATTTATAAATTAACTTTTGAATATACACATTAAATCTCACAGGAACTTCACCAGAGAAAGTTTCAGGAATCAACTCATATAATCCCTAATAAAACCCGAGAAATTCTATTTTGCAATAGTTGAGCTGTTGGCTCATGTAACATTAACAAGGGAATTAAACAGTTTTTTAAGGCCAACGTTATTTTGACAGCCAATCGAGCTCGTTAACTGAGGCTATAGAACAATTTCATTTTGTATGCCAAGATTTTATGTGTAATAATGATAGAGCCAACAAGGGACTCACTGCGTGAAATTAAAATTAAAACATGTGGAAACCCGGTTCGGCTTGACTTGAGATTTGGTTCGTTAGCTTTAATACCATACATGCATAAGACTAGAGGAACTTGAGCGGATTGGTGCACGTTTTGGTAAGCTTAAAGTTGGGTATTCAACTCAGCTTTGCACATCATGTATATGATGCCATACTTATATGCATATGTAGCTGATTGGCCTCTTGCAATGCAATATTTTTATGTAAAATAACAGACAGATAGCTGGAGCGAGAGAGGGAGAGAAAGCAAGGAGGAGAAAAAGTTGTGAAGCAGCTGCCAAGCGTCACAAACTGTGTTTCAAAATGTCAACTGGAAGCACAGCTTAACAGACTGTGAGGAATTAAAAGCAAAAAATAGTTGAAAAAAGAATATGAACCATGTGCAGTGCTTATTTGTTAGTCAGGCTGACAAGTTGGGCAAACGTGTAAAACGCGCGGAAACGGATGTGAAACCAAGTGAAACATAGTGAAAAATATCAAACGGCAAATGATAAAAAGCAACAACAGCAACAAACAGTTGTTGTGCCGGAAGCAAAGGAAACGCGTGGCATGCAAAGTACGTGCCTGCATGCGTTTGTATTTGTATCTTGTATCTGTGCATGATTTGAGCAATAGTTTTGGTTAGACAAAAACCTAAGCGCAAAGACTGAGGCTGCAGAAGCTGCCACTTGGCTGGCTCTCAAGTGTGAGTGTGTGTTATGGGCGTGCATTGCGCTGTATGTGGAGTCACACTCTCTCAAACGGTATGACAATGACAAAGTGATCTTCCGGCGCCAACAACTAGCTGCTCCTGGCTGCTGGCTGCTTGCTGATAAATGATGATTTTACGCTCGCTCATAGCCCAGCCCCAGCCATGTTACAATGCCACTTTATGAGCTGCGCCGGCTGCCAGACCCAATGGCGGCGATGCCAAGGACAAGCAGCGCAACGATGCGCATTCCCTCCTGAGCCACGGCAGCCGTGGCGTATGTGTGCTACTATATACCTGCAACTATTTGTGAGTCAAGAGGGTATGTTGCTCTCGTGGATATGTATGTTGGAGTTAGCAAGAGATTATTAGATACTCAGTACAATAATCGATATTTCTTATATGTAGACAGCCTTTCCCTGTGTATCTGCTCTCAGTTTCGATATCTTCTCTCATTTTCTTAACCAGAGAAACAAAGTTTAGGGTATCTCCCAGTGGTATACACTCCTGAGCAGTCGGCAGCATCAGTATGATTTTTTCTATTCGTTGTTTTTCGGCTACTTCACCCTGCAGCTAAGCGGATTTTATATTCAAATAGCGATGCGCGGCGCAACTCATGAAAAAAGAGCTAGAGTGGGAAAAAAATGAGCTGACGATTGCAGCGAAATTACCGTTGCTGCTGTTTCTATCGTATCGTATCGCCAGCAGTAAAGTCTGCAGTTTTATGAGCACTTGGGAGATTCTTTTTATTATTTTGGTTCTTTTTTTGTGACACTAATGCGACGTTTATGAAACATTCGCAGCAGCGATTTCTTGTCAAATGATTGTAAAAAGTGGAAAGAGAGAGGGGAGAGCGGGAGAAAGAGAGAGACAGAGCGTACAAAAGCATAGAAGAAAAACTGTTTAGCAATTTAGAAAAATGCGCTTATGAAAATGTCTGCGATTGTCAGCATTGTCCATGAAGCACACAAGTATTGAACCATAAATCAGTTGAATAGTTCAGATATGCTTGGAATATAAAAAATACACACACGAAAGCTGCGCTTGTAGGCGAGCTGCCAGAGCTGAAGAGAAAAATAATGAAAGCAAGCCAAAAAAAAGACAGAGCAAAAAACTAAGATTGCTGCAGTCAATAGGTGCTAGACGTAAGGATACCCTTTAAGAGAGAAATAGAGAGAGTGAGAGGTTATATATAAGAGAAATCAAATATATATATATACAAATATATATAAAATAATATACGAACATTGTGAAAATCTCCTAACGCTACGTATACGTTATTTATTTCTGTGTAGAGTAGGCCAAATTGAGTTACTCCTGCCACGCCACAAGCTAACCTGCTACATGGGGTAGAGCAGCACCTACCTATTAACCATTTTTATGTTCTAAGGGTATATATGGTCCAGTGTCACGTAACAAATGCCCAATTGAGCTAAATGCCAACCCAGTTTCATTTCAGCTGTAGTCCTGCCGAGGGTCATGTGTGTGTCTCTGTGTGTGTGCCCAAATTGGTTGGCTGACAGGGGGTAAGCACTAAAGTAACTGATAACAGTGTCGATAATCGATAGAGTGTTGTAACTGGCAACTGCGTTGAGTTATTTCGAACAAATTGGCAGCACTTTGAAGCGAAAATGACCCCAAACGATATGAGCTCAAGTTTCAGCATTAGCGCCAGCCTACGTCAATTCAATAAGTATATATATAATTTTGGGTCAAAGCTCTCAAGTTTCATCTTAAATTCAATAAATATAAGAGTCGTAATTCACTCGGCACATTCGATACTTTATGCTCGCAGCGCAAAGGCACAAAGATAATAACAAAATTTTATTTACTAACAAGGTATTGAGTTAATCAATTATAAAGCTAATATCTGGAGGCAGCTGAAAGCCTAGCCAGATGTCAAGTTAAAGGCATTTGAATGTCAATTAAATGTAAGAATCGATTCTTGCATACATCTTCAAATTACTTTGGAATTCGATTTCTAATTGTAATCGGATTTGCACACAATTACAGAGCATTTTGCCATTAAATGAATTTGAATGTTTTAACTATGAAAAGAACATTTCATTGTTGGCCTGTAAAATTGTGCCATGTGCGCTTCGGCTTACAAAGGAAATTCCAATGGTAAAACTAATATAATTGGCTATAAAATCAAATGAAGTTTCATTAGAATGAAATATTTGTCAATTATTCCGCCAGTTTCTGCGCAGCTTTCGTACTATTCAACTTCTAATTGGGATTTTATATAATTATAAGCCATGATTCAATTAGAGTTGGTTATTTTTGAATGTGAAATGAACAATTCAAATGTAACCGAATATTGTGCATACGCCACATGCGCCTCAACAATAAACCGAAATATATGCAGTACTCAAATGGTAAGCTCACACACACACGCACACGTACACGAGCACATTTATCAAAATGTATTCAAAGGCAAATTATGTAAAATGCTTGAAGTGCCGAAAAGTGTATTTCAACAGCGATTGAAATCTGTAGCTGTCATACCTGGCCACAACCCGCTCGCGCCGCCTTCTTTCAAAAATATTTTATTTAATGCGCTGTCAGCCCACGGCGCTTGCGTCACCCAGACGAGAAAAAAAAGTGAAGAAAAAAGTGAAATATCTGAGAATTTGTACAAAATTAAGTTGATTAAATGGACTTAGCAGCGCGATTACACGCAAGGCTGCCTTAGAGCAGCCTAAAAGGGAGCACAGCGCTCTGAAATGCTGTGCGTGTTGACTGGGCCGGCGGGGACTTCTTTTCCCAGCAGTACAATGGCACAACAACAGCGAGGAGAAGAAAGGAAAAATGTAAAGAAAAAACATATTTTTCATTTCATTCCCTTCACATCGCTCTGGCCATTGACAGGCGGACGGCCAAGTGAACAACGAACAGCGATGAGCCGAAACTTTGACCATTGAAATCTGTGTCCCATGGGAAACGCTGCGCCTCGAAGCCATTAAGAGGCGCATGATTAACGCTTTGCTCGACAAGACAATTGATAAAGAATAGAAGAGCAGCTGAGCCACAGTCAGCCCAAATGGGTCGGCGAATCTATGCTAGCTCAGCCGGGAGTCGGCAACAAAAGTCAATGCAGCTCTCTCACAAGGCAAACCAACTTTCTAATGAAGCATGTTACAGATAGCGCGATTAATGTTTGCTCGTAAATCTATATAAACTACAATCTCTTATACCAAAAGCCGAGAAGTGCTTCTAGCTTAATCTTCATATGTACATATAAAGCTGAGTGCCCTGGCTGAGGCACTGACTAACTGACTGATTGATAAGCAACACAAGGTCGAAACTTAAAGGGCCACAAATGTTCCTTGTGGTTGACAAATTCAAGTGAAATTCTATCAACAGACTTATAAGCTCAATAGGCGCTGAGGTGGCTCGGCCATTTCGCTTTATATCATTATAAAAGTAGGCGGGCTACGAACAGTCATAAACAAGGCTGGCTTTGCTGCACGGCCTTCTGTTTAATATAATTATTCTATAAATAATGATAGAGTATTTAAAATACCGCAGCCTTTATGGTCACATTTTCTCTTTCAGCTGACAATTAAGCGCGACGGAAACGGAAGCTCGCGAGCAGCCATAGAAAACGAGCATTTAATGCAGCGTTTACATTGTTTTTGCACCCTCCATGTTGCCCTTCCTGCTGTGTTGGCGGCTTCGGCATTGTTTTTAGCCAGTTCACAAAATATGTTGTGGCCTGTCGCTTTGCCCTCTCTTCTTGCTTGCTGCGGCTGCTGCAGGCGTGCAGAATGATTAATGCGACCGGGCACAAAGCACAGGCATTAATGGGCGGTCAACGGAATGCGCTCCAGCTACAATTTTTTTACGTGCTGACTTCGAAAACTCGAGCAAATTGCGGCACTTAGCGTGTACGCCCCAAAATATGTACATGTCTACACAGATACGAGATGGCTGCACGTTCAGTGCAACAATAAGCGAGACGGAGACACCGAAATTAATGCACGAGGCGAGTGTGAGATTGGGTACAGCACGGCGTATGATTAATCTGTTGTATTACACAATCTAATGGGCAGCTCGTGCCGCACTCGAAGCGAGCTGTGAGTGGCGCAGCTCAAGCCGGAGCCGGCGCAGTTCGTCCAACTTAATTTAAAGGCTCGCAGTTCCAGTTGCTTGCTTAAATCTTTATTAATATGCAAGAAGCCAGAGCTTCTACAGCTCGTCAGCGAGTACCATGAAAAATTATCGCCATTAGAGCAGCAAATTTGCTGCCTTGTAGCAGCCTCACCAGCAGCAGTGGTAGCAGCAACTGCATTGATTTTGCAGCACGTAGCTGACTGTGTGGACGTCTGCAGACTGAAATTCGACCCAAACCACATTCCATTTATGTTAATGATTCGGGCATTGCGAGCCGCATTAGAATTTCATGTTGCCAGCAAATTGAGGCGCATCTCCCTGATGGGCAGCCATAAATTGTGGCTTGATTGACACGACTCGATATGCTAGTCCCAAAATAAGCGCCCAATTGCATGCACTCAGTGTTATGATAGATGAATGCTCGGGTCCGAAACTTGCAGGAGACTGATTCCCAGACATTGCATATATTATACATAAATAGTAGATGATAGATATAGCTATGCATATAGTTAGGCATATGAATGTAGAGATACGTACCTAGTTTTATATATAGACGTAGCTCTAATGAATAGGCTTAGGATTCTCATTCTTCTTCTTGAATTCGAACACTCTCAGTAGATTCGTAATATTTCAACTGAACATGTTAATATTAAATTCACGTTTAAATATTTATAATTCTAACTACTTCAGCCATTTGAAAGATAATGTCCTGATTATTTATAACCGCGTATCTTTGGCAGATAATCTCAAAATTCTCGACATTTGCATGTCTCGGATAGTAAATTCCAGTATATTTCCAGAGCTTGTAAATGCAACAAGTTCTTGGAAAGTTACAGAATAGATATTGTGTGAGTCGCCAGCTTCGAATCTTATAGAAAATCTACAACAAAAATTAAAATTGGATTTCAATCAGAAGTCACAATTTAAATTACTTCCAAACACTGTCACAAGAAAAACGAAATGCTAAAAAAACAATACAAATACTAATGTTTTAGTTGTTTACATGTCGCTTTCATTAGGTAGGCCTTGGACGTAACCGCACAGCATGGATATGCGTTACGATAGGGGCCAATTTCCGACTGTGTTTACTCGCGAATCTCGGCACCAGCATCAACACGAATACCATGAGACGGCAGCGTCCAGCCAACCAGCAGATCGACAGGCAGAGGTTACATCTACCGGGCATGTCTGTCACAGCCATGAAGGACATGGTGGATCTATGGTCTTCCATTTTAGCAACAGGGAAACCATTCTTTTCGAATTCTGGACGACCAACTCTACGACGTCGATTGTGCTCTCCTGCCTAATCGTTTTCATAATGGCCATTGGCTACGAGGCACTCAAATGTTACCGCGAGTGGTTAAAAAAATGTAATAAAAAAAGAAAAGATGGAGGCTGTGATCGAAACAACGCAGGACAGATAACGCCTATGCAGCTGCCGTCACCATCGACATTGATCGATGCATTTTCTATACCGCTGTCGGTTGTAGCACCAGTGGCAACAGGAGCTGTGGCAATAGCGGGAGCGAGTCCGAATCCAAACCCGAATCCGAATCCAAATAGGAATACGAATACGCTACCTCGCCTGATGACACGTGTGCCCTGGTTAGCGCCCATTCACTGGTATCAGACACTGTTGCATATGCTTCAGGTAACCATCTCGTTTTTGCTGATGCTTATCTTTATGACATTCAACGTTTGGCTTTGCATAGCCGTTGTCCTGGGCGCCGGAGTTGGATATTTCTTATTTTTTGCGCAGAGCGAAAATGTGTCCGACCACTGCAATTGAGGTATTCCACGTCATTCAAATATCCAATGCCTCCCTATGCTACACTGTCTCCACTGTTGTCTATATGCTTTTGTGCTAATGTATTTTTCTAATTAAACCAAGTTATAAAAATATCATAACAAAAGTGACTACCAGCCGCCCGGCCTAATTGTTCATGTTTATGGCTCGTAAAACAATGACTGCAGCTACCGAATAACCGACGAGAGGCACAAACAACTGCGAGTTCGCCCAATAACAATGGAAGAAACAGGGCTAACCTCGTGGCCAGCTGGGCGTATACGTAATCTACACCAAATAAAAACGGCAGACAAAGCTCTTCCTTTTATCCTTCTAATTACATAAGTAGAGCTCGAGCAGCATCTGCTCTGCTGCGCCATTGGGGCTGTAGTGTATGTCGAATTCGTTCAATTTAAACGCACATTATCTTTCTTTTAGCGTAGCTATCTTTAGCTTTATGGCCGTTTTACGAGGCCTCGCCTTCGCCCCCGCGCTTTATATATGTACATACAATCTATATATATATTTACATTTATATAGATATATATATTCACCTGCTCAGTTTTTATTTCTGTTTGTGTCTGACGTTTTCATAATGCCCGCAATTATGAGGGAGATAAACCTTGGGCCAGGTTTACTTGCGCGCAGCCAGTGGCCATTTATCGGCGCTTGCCAACATTCAATTAATATTTTAATAAGCTGCCTTTATGCCATTTGCCAAGCGGATAACGCAATTTGGCTTTAATACGCCACGCTGCACCTGAAAGCATGAAGCGCAGCCGCAGCGCAGCGCAAACCGAACCGAACTCAATTCAGCTTTAATAATTTACACACATGTATACAAGAGTATTAATTTCTGTGCATGTGTGTGTGTGTGTGTGTATAGAGGGCGTATAACTTGACCCATGGGTCAAGCCGTGCAGCAGCGGAAGCGGAAATGCGTTCATGCATGCCAATTTGACCCGTCATCGAGTCCTGGCTGGCATCCATCAGACATCACCCTTTCATTGAGTCTGATTAATGAGCATGCACGTACGTAGCTTCATAAGGCGATTATGAGCTATTGCGCTAATGAATTATAGCTGTTTAGTGATTGCGTGCCATGCCTTTGTCCTGCATGCAACTGTATCCGCAGCTCACGCATGTGACTCTGTGATTCAATTTAATATTGAATGGGCTTCAGCTTGTGCTTAGCGAGCTAGACCAGAGCCAGAGCTAGATCGTTTTATGTAGAGTAAATACCTTTTTAATTTCGATACGTATTGTCTTAATTTAAAAAGTTTGCTGAACTACACATCTCTGAACTGAGCGGGCATATACGTGAAATATCTTTCATTGGGCGAGTTATTTTGATGGGCCCCCATGGCGCAGTAGAATATACGGCCAATTTCCAGAAAGGACAAAAAGAATTGCTTCGAATATTGACTCCAGTATTTTCTCAGTATCTTGCGATTCGCATTGTGGAGAGGAAAGGACGTGGTTTTACTGTTGTGCCACAATATCTCCGGACGCTTCTTCCGCACAAAGTTACGGTTCAGCATGAAGATTACATTATTCATAACAGCTTCGGCTGCATTGTATTTGTGCCTGTGTTCCGATTGGGAGTAACGTTTGCCATAGCGTGCTCGGATCCATTCAAGTAGCATCGGTACGAGATGCACTTCAGGCAGGGTGGGCAAGACGAAGCGTTGATCACGGGCCACGCGGTCCAGCCCCATGCGCAGCAGATTTCTCATCAGATCCAGATCATCAGCATCGTAATAATCATAGCCCAGATCAATCCGTGTATGCGAATCGCCTTTAAGAGACTCCCAGCGCGCCTTCTGATACTGCTTATCGAAGAGCTCAATACCCTCTCTGAAAATGCGCTTGGCTGAGCGATCCACCAGTGTGTCTATTGACTCACAATTATTATCATCATCTTCCCTGAGCGACTTGATCAGCGCTAACCTTATCTTCTGCTGCTCCTCCTTCTCTTCGTTCTTGTAGGAATCGAATACCTTGGGATAGTTGAACTTGTGGAACAAAGCATTCGTGCCCAGCTCAAAGTAATCGCTGCTACAGGAACACCGACATTGACAGGTTTCCTGGGTATGAACCTTCTTCCTCTCAATGCCAGTTTTACTCTGTGGCTTCGATGATAGTCGTGGCCCAAGTTGCAATTCCAGTATGTCCCCTGACTCAATAGCGCTGGAACGGTTAGGCACAGGATATGAATTTTTCTTTATAGGAGTGTTGTCCACGACGGTGGGTGGGATGCATTTATCGGGTAAGTGCAGGCCTAAACGGGAATCAATAATGCGGCACACGATGTCATCTTGCAACCTGTCAACGTCGTCCTTCTTAAGGTAAACGAAACCCGGATCACATGGATCCAACATTAAGCGTTTCCTGGTGGAGGATATGCGCTCTTTCTGAGTTAGCTTACGAAACTCCGCCCGATAGCGATCCGTCAGGCGATCCAGGTCTTCCAGAACGCGCCGGCGATTCTTCTCTCGCCGCTTGTCCACATTCATGAGTTGCTTGCTACGTTCTGCTTTCATCTTTGCCAGTTTTACATTCAGCGATTCCTCCGTTTTACTGATGAGCATGTGGTGCGTGCAGAGGGACGTCAGATCAGTCATATGACTTTTGTCTGATTGCAGCGTAGACAGAATATTTGCAATCTGAGTGTTTAGCACAGATCTGGCAATCCGTTCTGTTTGATGGAAGTCGTATTTGCCAAACCAACGGGACTTGATCGAATTACGCGTTAAATGTGATTCTATGGTGGGCAACGAAAGTGGCTGCTTCGGACGGTAGGCAAAATGGCACCGCGGTCGAGGAGTGGGAAATAAGACCTTCTGAAAATAAGGCGAGCTGTCGTCCTTTATTGTTGACTGGCACTGAGCTATTTTTTTAGCCAAATCCTTCATGTGCTTCAGTTGCTTGGCCTTATAACGACGCTCCTTGAAGTGTTCCTGCTTCAGTTGATGAGCCACCGACTTATGCGGCAGCGGCAGCACACGTTCCAGTTCAAGCAACGTCGGAAAAAGATCTAGCCAGAAGATGGAGGACATGATTATTCGCTCGTTAAGCTCGTAGATGGCCTCATGATTCGACGTCTTGTAATACATTTCCTTGAGGAACCACAGAAAGGCCACATCGTTGCCGCGGCTCATATCTAACAGGCGCTTCAGTCCGCTCGATGATGGTCGCGGGATAATGCCTAAGTCGACCAGCATTTGACGTGACCGATGTGTGCTGCCCTGTAAAATGTCATCCCCCAAGGCACGCCTGAAGCCACGCAGAGCTGACATTTGGACATCGGAGAGGCCACAATACCACAATGGCTCCAGATACTTTTTCATTACATCGTCTCCGATCTGACTTCGGATGACCTGATGCATGTGCAGGACTTGCTGACTCATTTGGCGACTGTATGTGAACCGCATTTTGCTAAGACACGAAAATTAAATTTAAATCAACAAATTACTTAAGTCTTTAACGAAATCAAATTCGAATCACAGAAATTTCAAGTCACAATTGATTTGAATGAAATAACATGATTATTATTGATAATGGAATGCTCATTGAAATAATCATAGAAGAGATTAAATGTTAAATACGAATGGTCCTTCTCTCAGTTATCTCTCTCCCGCTCTCCTCTCTTTTTCTCTGTCATACAAATAGGACCGAATCGAATATAGTTTTAGGTAATTTTAAGAGTTGTCTAATTGACCGCAGTTGCCTACATTTAAGACCGCACTTCTTATCCAGACCAAGTCAAGCCACAAATATTTCTAGATAAAAGCTTTATGATCAGCATCCCCCACATGGTGTGTGTATGTGTGGGTGTGTGGATGCGTGTGTTTTCCTTGAGTGTTTGTGACAATTTGCTGGTCCTTTGCAGCCCGCAGAAGTACATCATTAATTTATTAGCAAACCAAATAGGCGGCTACAATCAGGACTCAGACTCAGCATTTTGTTGGCAGGACACGCAGGCCGCACGTGTCGCCCCCGATGTGTGAGCGTGTGTTTGTTGCTTTGTTTTGTCAGCGAATGCCTGCGGCTATTTCTAGACTTCATGTGACTTGACTCGCAGCTCTTTGGACCAACGAACGCGTAAGTTTACAATTAGCTTGGCTTAAAGCGTGCCCCGTTTTCTGGCCAATAATTTATGACTTTCTTCATTCGACTGTCAATTAAATTCTTTGGAAAATCACGGCTTTGCCATTCGCTGACATCACGGGAAGGCTCGAATGATTTATGCGCCGACTGGTTGACACTTTATGGTCAAAATATACAAACATATATGTATGTATGTATATGGGTCTTTCCCCTCTGTTTGTCTGTCTTCGTCTGTGTGCGTGAAGTGCTTTTGCTAGTTTCCTTTTTGCTATCACTTTCTGCCTACGACACGTGGCCAACGCCTGCAGAGCTGCTTATGTTAATGACCCGTACCCGAGCCTCGTGGCTCATGCCCTTGCCCGACCCGCATCCGAATCCGGACCCGGCTTAGAGTCCTCTGCCAATGGGACAATTGGCATGTGTTTCAGCCCATTTTCATGAGTTCTGCTTTTGCATGTGACATGGAGCCGGGTGTTAGATCTTAATAATAGATACGCCCACTCGCATTGTCAGGTAAACTTTATCTCAGTGTCCATATATCAAGGAAATTCAAGTGGAACACAGACCATAATGGACGGCACGCCCGAGGCACGTTTAATGTTTTTTGCGCTCTATGTTCCTTAAAGTTTTCGCAGCTTATTCATACGAGTTGTGGCTACAGGGCCCAGTTCAATGCCGAATATATAACCGCAATTTTTACGTCAGCTTATCGGTTATTAATGTCATTCCATAAAAACGAAAATTCAAAAAAAAAAAGATCATCCTGTTTTTTGTTTTTGTGTAACGAATTGTGGTTGGCAATAAAACCAGGCCACAGGCTTGCAGATAACTGTATACACTATAATATTTATATGTGTCTATTCATCTATTTATATATTTATCTAAGAGTCTTATGTAATATAATCGATTATCCGGTGTTAAGTTCACATTTCAAAGCTCTCATATTTTTTGCATTTTCAAGACATTTTAAGAGTTTACTCTTACTACCTTTTTTCATTTATATATTATTTTATTTGAAATATTTTAGCTTTCAATACTTACTGTCACCTTTCATATCTTTCAATAGAAAACACAATTGGGCTGCTGCCAATTCGCATTTGAGCGCTTCACACTAAGCAGTTTATGACTTAAGCTCATTTCACTGCTGCCAACTTTCAAAATGAACTGTAAAAACGTTTCCACTGTGCCGTAAATTTGGGAAATACTCTTAAAATAAAGTGAAACAAGCTTTGGACCATAACCATTTTTTGCGCAATTTTAATTAAAAATACCAGCGGTAAAAAGTGTTTGGAAAAGAACATCATATCATACATCGTATTAATGCCTGACCGCACAGCCAAATGAGATGGGGCTGCAAAGGACAGCAATGGAAATGAAAATACGGCCAGAGGAGTGCGTGAAGTGACATACGGGTTGACTGAGACGAGTGACACAGATAAATGGGCAGAGTGACACGCCGTTTGACGGATGGACTGTCAGACAGACTGATATAATAACTGCCTCACTCTCTAATTGGCTGGCCGAGCGACTGCGCGAGTGACTGGTTTATAGACGAATTGACAACTTGATCAGCTGACAAATTTACAAACTGATAGTTGGAGAAAGTAGCAGACTGATTGATTGTCAGACTGAATAATTTACATATTGATGGAGTGACTGACTGACATACTATTAGACTGATGGACTGGTGTATTGATAGACTGACAGTATAATAGACAGATAGATTGATTGACTGATAGATCGATAGACTGATATACTTATAGATGATATACTAATAGATTGAGAGACTAACAGACTGACTGATGGACAATAAACTGATAGATCGATTGTCTGATAGGTTGATAGACTGATTGGCTGATAGATCGATAACTACTTGACAGATTGGAAGACAGACAGATAGACTGATAGATTGATAGTATAATAGACTAATAGACTGATAGATAATGATCTGATAGATCGATAAACTGCTTGACTTGTAGACTGATAGATTGATAGACGCATAGATGATAGATAGTAGACAGATAGATTCATTGACTGAAAGACTGATAGACTGACAGATTGATAGCCTGATATACTGATAGATAATTGACCGATAGACTAAAAGACTGACAGACTGATATATACATAGACTGATAGATAGATAGAGAATACAAGACTGTTAGATTGATAGACTGACAGACTGATTAACTTCCAAGTCAAGTTATTCTCCTTGTGTCTCACGCTTTCTTACCAAACTTCTAAAACAAACTATATTTTTGTTGTTGGTTAGCTAAAGGTTTCCTTTCTGGGCACTTGCGCTCGAACGCCTTCGTTTGTAGTTCTTAATGATGCGCGCTCCACTGATTCGGCAACACTTGCAGCATTGGCAGCCAGGCGCTATAGCTGCTACACAGTTTGGTTGATAGTCAAGCCGCAGAGGCTGACAGACTGGATTTGCATGAACTTTGGGGCGGCTGATACTGCCGCAAGGTTGACTTAAGTCAAGGCAGCGAGCTTTGTGGCCATTTGCCGAGATTATAAAATATAAATATCTATAAGCACTTAGCGCTACTGCCAGTGTCTGGCCAAGAGTTGAGCCAGCAACAGTTGCTTGACAATTCGCAATCATTTTTCGAGCACACGCACCAAGCACCACGCACACCAATACTAAAAGTAAAATCATGTTTCCATTTCGAGAAACACGTTCCATATTGTTTCGCTGCATCTTTCGCTCGTACCTTTACCCCTTGGCGCAATTTAACGAGCTTCTAACTTTATGTTTGCTTGTCATGTACACATTTTGTTTTTATTGGAGGCCCAACCAACGTCCCACTGCTCCGCCGAGTAGCCTGTTTAAGTGAAACATTTTTAAAGTCAACTCGAAGGCGTGCGTGGGCCACACAGACACGCGCCTCATTCAACAGTTTTCGGTTAATGTTAATGCAAAAAGCAAAAAATATACGAAAGCATCGAGCTGAGATGTTTGCTTGACTTTGAGACATTTAAATACTCTTTTCAAGTGCGTTTAGAAACCTATGAGACAAAGCCTACTGAACAAAATATATATTTATATTTTTTTAAATAAATGTTTTCTGGATGAATTTAAAAACGTTTTGCAGTCTTGATGAATTCAATTAAAAATAAGTTTGATTACATTGCAATATCTATATGAGATGATTATTGTTCCAGCCACCATCTGGCGCCATCAAGTGGTCTACGGAAGATTATTGGGGAATTTGCAATTTCACCATGGGAAGCCTTTACTAAAGACATAAGTTCTTACATAAGAATTTGAAGGAAATGTATCTTAATCAGCTGAGTGTATCACAAGATGTTGTAATTTCAGCATCTACTCATTAGATCCACAATAAATATCTCTCACCTGTGCTAAGATACTCAGAGCAGTACAACATAGATCCCTGCAGCTCACCTATTTCTATTCAGCATTAGCTGTTGTTGCTCACTCAGCTGAGTTCAGTATATCTATACTATACAGTAACTATATGAATACATATATGAATAAATAGACAGAATTATATATATAAATGTGTATTATATCTAGCTATCTTCTAAACTTCATCAACACACTGAAGTTGAATCAAACTCAAAATGTTTAGCATACGAAACATTTATGGATAAATATTTTTCAAATAACAAAATTTTCTAGTGTCACAAGTCTCATAACATATTAATAGGACCCTTTCCGCCTCTGTGGCAAAAAGAAAAAACTCAAATACAAATGCGAAAAGGACTGACATGTGCTCGGAGTTTGCCATTTGTCGTTGTTGTTGTTTGGTCGCTTGTACGAGGGCTGACTGTGCCTTGGGCAAATGCAAAAACCAAAGCATGAGTAAACTTTTTAGCTCGGCTTCCTCTGTTGACTGAACGCCATTTGTTTATAAATTTAATTTGTCTTAGGCAAAACGTCTGTCGACTTGTCTTTGGCTTTCCTTTTTTTATTTCTTCTCCACGTCTTTTCTCACTGTTCTCTCGACTTTTTTACAAATTATATATTCAGCATTTTTAGTTAATCCGTCAGGTCTGGCGGCAGTCGTCAGATAATCTAAGAACTTAAGCCAAGGCTGCGCAGAGTTTTTGATAAGCCGCCATTAGAGCCTTAAGCCCTCGCGAATGTTCCAGCTCTAAAATATGAACTTAAAGCCAGGCAAGCCAAATATGCTGGAAATAATCTCACTTTTTGCAAACTAACAAATTGCGGCCATGTTTTCATATCGCAAACGCCAAACAATAATTTGATATATGTATGTAAATGCTTACAAGTGAACTTGGCTATGCATGAGACGCACTTACTTATGTGCTTTGTTGTACGTGTGTGTGTGGGTGTGTGAATACAATGTATAAGTATATAAAAGTTGCTTACCTTCTCGTTCCTCTTCTCTCTGTCCATTGAACTAGAATGTGTGGGTTTTGTG